TAGGACCACAAGCAGAAAGCCAGTATGTACCCCTAACCAATGACATAGGCACCCTTTTATTTATTTTTTATTATTATTTTTAAAAATATTTTTATTGGTTTCAGAGAGAGGAAGGGGGAGGGGGAGAGAGAAACGTCAATGAGGAGAGAGAGTCTTTGATGGGCTACCTCCTGCATGCCCCCTACTGGGGACCGAGGCCAAACCCAGGGCACGGGCCCTCACTGGGAATCAAACCCTGACCTGCTGGTTCATAGGTCAGCTCAACCACTGAGCCACACTGGCTGGTTGGGCGAAATCTCTTCTTATAAGGACACCATCAGATTGGATTGGGGCCCATCCTAACAGCCTCGTCTTAACTTACCTCGTTAAAGGCTCTATCTGCAAATATAGCCACATCTGAGGAACTGGGCTGTAGAGTTTCAACATATGAATTTTGGGGGACACAATTCAGCCCACAACACCCCTTCCTTTCCTCTTGCCCCCAAGTCTTGGTCATTAGCGCTCTCTCCTGGGGAGATCTCAGCTGTAGTGCATATGCTCCAGGAGGAAAGTGCCTGTCCCTTCTGCTGAGGTGTTGGAGAGGGGCCCAGCTGGTCCAGCTGTCCTGTTTGCCTGCAGTCCAGTTTCCATGCTAGGAGCCATGACTTTGTTTTCTCAGCCTGGATACACCCTGGGCTTGTCTTGCCCCTGCCTCTCTTCATAGGCTGCACTCAGTGTGTCACACAGCACTTTCTAGTTCACGAAAGCCCTCCCCTGAGACTTGTCATCTTTTCACCTTCAGCAGGCCTCTGGCTTCCTCCACTGAAGCTTCCCTGAGATCTGTCCCTCTTCTCCACCCTCAAGGCCATCGTCTCCCGGTCCATTCTTCCCCTTTCTGTGGGCCTAATCTCTTGAGTGCCCCTTACTCACAAACTTCAGTGGTTTCTCACTGTTCACTTCCCAAGTCCTGTTTCCTTATGCAAGACTCTGCCTTTGCCCAGCCCAGATGTGCCTGTTGCATTAGAAAACCTGTCCTGGCAGCTGCCTCTTCGCCTTTGCTAATGCTCACTCCCCGGTTCGAAGTGCCCTCCCTCCTCCCGCGGATGGGAAAGTCCTGCCCCTCCTTCAGTCGGCTCTGCTGGGTGCCCAGGTCCGCACCCATCGCTCCCTCCTGCTCTCCTTCAGCTCTGGAAGGAGATCCCGGTCCTTAGTGGTTCTCTGATTTTTTTGGGGGGAGAAACTCTGGGGATTTTCCTCACCCATTGGACTGTGTGCTCGAGAAAGCAAGGTGGGCCGAGTCCTCTGGTCCCTTCTCAGCCCCCAGCCCCAGGCTGACTGCCTGGCTTGGGGCTTGACACACTGTCCTTGTGGGTGCTGGAGAGGGCCCTGCCTATGTCTGGGGAGGAAGCTGGATTTTGAGTTGATTACCTGCGAGCCAAGTGTAGGTTGCTGTGGGAATGTGCATGTATGTGTGTGTTAGGGGTTATTGCTTAACTTACGGGGTGTGTGTGTGTGTGTGCGTGCATGTGTGTGTGTGTTGGGATAGGGGTGGAGCGGTATGGTGGTTGGTCAGGAAAGACCTCCCTGAGAAGGCTGATGCTGAGTAGAATCCTGACACAGTGGAGCCCAATGATGAGAGCTTCTGAGTCTGGGTCAGGAGATCCAGGGACCCAGGGCCTGCACGGGTGCACAGTAATAAATGCTGAATGAATGAATAACTGAACAAGGAGGAGAGAGTTCCAGGCAAAGGAAACACTGTGAAAGTCTGGTCTGGAGAGAGTGAGCATGTTAAAGAAATCCAGAGAAAGTAATTCTGGTTGGAGCCTGGGAGGGCNGTGAAAGTCTGGTCTGGAGAGAGTGAACATGTTAAAGAAATCCAGAGAAAGTAATTCTGGTTGGAGCCTGGGAGGGCAAGGGGGACTGAGGTGACATGGGTCCAGAAAAGTAAACAGGTGCAGTGCCTGAGAGTCTCAAGCCTGAGGGAAGGAGGAAGCCACTGAAAGGTTTGAAGCAGGCATCCCCTGTGCTGTGGGATTTGCGTTTTTAAATGGACAGAAACTGGCAGTCAAATGGGACCTGGAGAATAGCTCCTTTTGGTGTCCGTGTTGCCCATGGTGCCTGACTCCTCAACCACCCTTTATTGATGGGGGGATAAATTGATCTGTTTAGAACTTTTTCGGTTTGGGCCATTTCCTTTCAAGGTGGCCATGGAATCGGGTCCTTTATAGCTGAGCTGAAAGGACCAGGTCATGGGCCCCTCAGCTGATACTGTCTTGACCTGGGATGCCTTGCTTGGTGTTTACACCACCTGAGCTGGGGTATGAGAGAGACCCAGAGACCCAGAGAGGGCCCTTCTGGCTTGGCTGTGCCCGTGTGTGGTCAGTGAGGAGGGGCCCTGCCTGAGAATGCCTAGAGGCTAATGATAAACACCTTTGAGTTGGGCCTTCTTACGCGTAGAGTTTTAAAAATGGAACCAAGCCCAATGTGTTAGTGTTAGTGCTTGCATTTCTTGTAGCAGTGGTAACAAGGGCCAAAGACACAAGAAACTGATTAACGTACTTTAAAGAATGGTCTTTAAAGAAGGGTATAGTGTTTGCTGTGCCCTGAGACTTTCCTTTTACCTCCTAGTGCTGTGGTCTCACAACTCCTGGTCCCTGGTCTGGACGGGCCCATCTCTGCTGATCTGTGGCTCCCTCGCCCTGGGCACTCCCACCACAGCCAAATGGTGGCCAGCAGTGCCTCCCTGTCTCTCTGGACTCCTGATATTTTGGGTACTGCTTCTGGTTTCCCAAGCAGAGACACTCCTCCTGTAATGACTGGAGGAGCCAGGCCAAGACCCTGACCCCGTGGACTTGAAGAACTGCCATTCCTGTCCTCCAAGCTCTGGTCTGGCCTTGATAGGTCCAACCCAGGAGATTTTCAGAATCAAAGTCAGTGTTGATTCTAATGACTTTGGGTTTATCCAACAATACTTGGGTAGGTGTACTATTTTGTAACTTAATGAGCTGTATGAAAATAATTAATTGTAAATAAGTGATGTGAAAATAAATAAATACCTTTTTTTGTGTAGACTTTTCCCCACAATGTTATGTCAGGGAAACAATGCTTTTCTCACACCCTCTGAATGCTATCCCTGCTTCACTCCCAGGCCCTCCTCCCGGGCCTGCCTGCCCTCTGAACCTCACCCTCTGTGCTGTCCTTCCCGCTGTCGTCTCCTTCTTCCCTCCTGGTCTGGGTGTAGGGGCGTCAGCAGGCCATGGTCCTTTGTCCTGCTCCCCTCTCCTCCTGGCCTGGTGAGTAGGGGGCTTCCTGCACTCTGACACACGCTTTCACTGCGTGCAGCACGTGAGTGTGTCACTGAAGGGCTGAAGATGGGTAGGCTTTGTCAGGTGTGATGCAAGGTAGGGTTTTCAGATGCTCCCCCTCCTGTCTTGTTATTTATACGTGTGTGTCTTTCCCAAATAAAATCTTATGGGAAATCTCTATATAAAATGAGTAAGAGTAGAACTGCCCCAGCTCAATCTGAAATGGGAACTTTTAGCCCTGTCCAGTCGATCTAAGCCCCTCCCCCAACCTCAGCCTGCTCCCACCAGGTGCCCAGACCAGGGTCTCCCACCTGTGGCACTGTTTCCTTATGGTTCTTTGGGCCCTTGGTAGCTCATAACCCAGAGGGTCTTCCCAGGACTTGGGCAGGGCCCATATGAAGCAAGTGTCTTTGTCCCTAACCTGGTTCAGGGTTAGCTGGATTGCCTGGGCTTGCAGCTCTGTGATCTTTCTTTCCTTGCCAGAGACCTTCTTGTGGGTTCATTCTTAGTCATTTCCTGGGCCCAGAAGACCTTTGAGGGTCTCATAGAAAAGAGTGGTGTGATGGCCCTAAGGATCGTGTCCACCACTTTTCCACCCCCTTTCCTGCAGGGGCAGAAGAACTAAACTTTCCCAGATTCCCTTGCTGCTATAAGTAAGATTCTCATGAGGAGATATATGGATGTGAGACTGGAAGGCAGAGGGGGCAGCAGACCCCCTTTCTTCAGTGGCGGTGGCAGTTATATGCAGGGGCTGAACTCTACACCCCACTGTCCAGTCACCTGCTTCAAGAGCCTGGTGTACGTATGAGTTGTACGGTTTCCTGCCACTTTCTGACCTTGGCTTGCAGCTGCTGTGGTGCCTAGTGTCAACCCTCCGACTGCTGCAGCTGCAGCCATTCCCAAGCTTAGGAAGCACCTGCTCCTGCTTGAAACACCAAGAGCAGCTTCTGACCTCTGCCCTGAACTCCGAGTAATAGCAGTGGAGCTCCCTGCTGCCCTGGGACTTGAGTCTGTTCCCTTTGACAGGTATGGGCCTGAAGGTGGGGAGGTGGAGGTAAGATGGGAGGGTTGGATTCCAACGACCGACCCAGTGCTTCCAGCTTCCTGTGAGGGGGTGGTTGGCCCACATCCAGAGGCTCACATCCTAGCTGGGCATTCCCAGCTTCTTGGCTCATGCTGTGGCCACAGAAGCAAACAGACCCTTGCTAGCAGGGTTGACACAAAATGGTTTGCCACACTCCGTCTTAGCACTGGCCCAACTGGCCCTGCTTTTGAGGTGGCAGGGACTCCGATGTACCTGGGTGGCACTTGACCAGTGTTGGTGAAAGCATGGGCTCTTCTAAGGGTTGTAATACAGCCAGGTGGAGTCAGGGAACTGGCGCCGTGGGCCAGGATCTTACTATCCTGCTCATTTGCTACCAGTTGTCGTGGTCATAGCATCAGCCTCCCATGCTGAAGGCTCTGAGCCTTTGCCTGGTCTAGAAATCTGGTCTTCATCTGCCCCCGGGGCCATATGGCTAAAGTGTGTCCCAGGCCTTTCATATTTGCGTCGAGAGGAAGGAAGCGTGTGTGGGTAAAGAGGTGCGGAGTCTCGCTGCCCACGGGGCCTCCCAAGTCACTAAGGAGAAGCTTCCTGGATCTCTTTTGGGGAAGGGGGAGCAGGTTTAAGAGACGGGAGCTGAACCCACTGCTTTCACAGCAGAGGTTGAATTACCAAACAGAAATACAAACTCAAACACTTTATTTTAGGTTATAAGAGAAGTAGGAGCCGCACTTACTGCCCTTAAGTCACATCAGAAGCAACGCTGTTTTGCTCACGTGTAAGTCACGCTCTCTCTTCCCTTTCAAAGATCTCTGGCCTGCTTCTCTTCAGCACCGAGTGGCCCCGTCTCACTCATTCAGCTGGCAGAGCAAAGCCGATCCCTTGGCAATCCAGTAATCTTTGGATCTCTTGGAGGGTAAAAGGACGGTCACCACAAAGTTGGTTGAATGACCTAGTTGAGGATACAGGGGAAAAAGGGGTCATTACTTAAAGAACAACCCCTTAATACAAAGAGTGCCGTACTAGGAGTCAAGACATCTGGGTTTGACCTGTAGTTTTCCAGAGTCTGCACTTTGCTGACAGCAACCCTGTGGTGATTTTAAACATGTTCCTCTATCCTTGCAAATGGGTGGTTAGATCTAGAGACATGGCCACATTAATGTTTGAGCTTTTTGGCAAGAATACTTCCTATGTGGTGTGTACTTCCATCAGGAGGCACCTTATGTCTGATCGCTTTTTTTTTTAGGATGTACCAGCTGTGGATAATCATTACTTAAAACCATTACTTCTTTAGGATTAATAATTTTAATATTTAGTGATGAGTAAGTCTGTAGAATCCACCTGTGATTTAATTTTTGTTTGTAGTGTGAGACAAGGATCTGAGTGTGGCATAACCAATTGTCCATCTGTGGAATAATTTCTCTGTTCCTGGCCAATGTTAAATGCTGCTGCTGTTCTATGTCCAGTTCCCAAATATGCACAGTGTGTTGTTGCAGGGCTCTCTCTCTAGCACATTTGCTCTATTGGCCGAGTCTTGTGCCAGTGCAACACCATTTAATTACCACCTTATCTTGGTTCCTCTTACCGAAAAGACAGAGTTCCTGTTGGGATTGTAGCCAATAACAAGACAAACGAATCAATAAAAAAATGGGCAAAAGATTTCAACAGATACATTACCAGAGGAGACAGAAATAAGTACCAGAAAAGATGGTTAATGTCATTATTAGGGAAATGCAAATTAAAGCTGCAACAGGATACCACTATCATCTATCTATTTATCTACCAACTACCTACCTACCTACCTACCTACCTACCTATCGCCTAAAAGACCAACCATACTAGGTGGTGATGAGCGTGAGGAGCAACTGGAACCCTCAGCCACCGCTAGTGGGAATGTTAAATGGTGTGGCCCTTTGGAAAACATTTTGGTAGTTTCTTAAAAAGTTAAACATGTACCTACCACACAATCCAGTCATTCCACCCTAGATGTTTATCCAATGTAAATAAATGTGTCACCAAAATGTGTACATACCATTATTAATTTCAAAAATAACCTCTTGATAACTTTTTCGATTTGTAATAGGAGTGGGAGATTGGGCAGGGGATAGGAGTGTCTATTTTAGTTCTAGTTTGTATGTTACCCTTAAAGGACATACTTTAACTGAAGATTTTATTAGAAAAAGAAATACCATCAGTATCTATATTCTCTAATCAAAAGGGAAACGTCTTTTTTTTTTTTTTTTAATTTTCAGTTCTTTCTGTCCTGCTTCATCTTCCATATTTCCATCATCTGGAAATTTAGTTCCAAATTATTATTAAAATCATTGTTATGGTCAAACTTTTAAAGATTTAAGTGTGTTTGTCTTAACTAGAGGGTCAGTGGTGATTAATTTAGAGCCTTTGTATGCCCCAGATGTCTTTAACACATTCTGCCTTTTGGATGATAATTTGGTTGCATTTCCAATTTTGGTTCAAAGTTGTTTTGCCTTGGCCTTTGAAGGTGTTTCTCTGTTATCTTTTAATGTGCACTGTGGCTAAGTGGATAATGTGAGTCGCCCGTGTCAATCTGATTCTCTGGAATTTTAAGTTCAGCATGTTAATACATTTTATCTGTTTGCTTTGAGGATTTTCTTTATCTCTGACAGTCTTAAGTATCACTTTGATATATCTAGGTTTCTTTTTAAAATTTGATTATTTGTTTATGTTTTAAAAAATTATCCCTAAGAGGACTTTGTGAGATCTCTTAATCTGAGGACTCAAGTGTTTCTTCTTTTATGGGAAATTATTGGCCATTATTAAAAAAATATTATCACTCTTCCATTTTCTCTACTTTCTCCTAGATTGCGTACTAGATAAATGTTGGAAATTTTGACTTTTTCCACAGTGTCCTTTTTTTAAAAAAATTGCAATGTCAAGATTTTTGAGCGATTTCCCCAGCTCATTCTCCTTGCTTACCCCTGCTGTCTACATTCGGCTTATCTATTCAGAGGATTTTCTTTCTGTCTGGTTCCTTTTTTCAGGGCTGTATCTCAGTTTCAGGTCTACTCAGATTTCCCTTTTGGCAGCATGGCATACTCCATTTAATAATTTATTTTTAAATCTCTTCGATGCGTCTCAATGGATTTAGTGAGAGATTTTAGTGTCTACTCACTCCATCATTTCAAAATTAGAAGTCCCTGCTTAATAAACTATTTTCTCCTCATTAGACTAACAGAAGTAAGCATCAGTTTTAAAATATCCATCCATACTCCAGATGAAAATAAACAGAATTTACGACACTTACAGAGCTGTGTAAGTGGCCTCACTTGAAGCTGCTTAAGGGAGATCTTGGGGCCAGCTCGCTAGGCTTAAAGCTTCGTGTTTGGGCTTCAACTGTAGTTTGCATTTGGTCATTACTAGCACCAATGTTCCCACATGCTCACCTGTGGTGGAGAGTGTCCCTGCTCGGGCCCCTGTTTTATAAAGTGGGGAGTGGTAAAGTGTTGGGCTTGGCTCATAATTTTGTTGAGGTTCAAAATGCACCACAGGCAGCTCTGGATTCATCTGTCCTGGCAGAGCATCTTCTACCACCATCTCATCATTGTCCCACCGGAAAGCATCCATGAACATGCCGTGAACGAGCACGCCGTCCTCCGGAGAAGGCAACTGAAACAGACCCAGAGGCTGGCAGGTGAGAGGGGAAGGCGACGGGCAGCTGGGGGCACCTCCCCCGCCCCTCAGCCTCGGTCAACTGTAAGGGCCACTGGAGGGACTGCTGTTGTTCCTCCCATTCTGGAGGGAATACTGAGGCCCTGAAAGGTAAAGCAACTTGCTTCTCAGTCTGTCACCAAATCCCATAGTCCATCAACATGGCTAATAGGGGATACCCCTGGGAAACCCACCCATGGGCTTCAGGATACCTGATACCATCATGTGAAGGCTTTCCCCTTGTCATGGGAAGCAGGTGGGCTAAGAGGGCTGAGATTATCCTCGGTTATCTTTTAGCAAGGTCTTTCAAGGGTATGCGAGTAGAGGAGTGCTGACAGAACTGCCCAGGAGCAATTCCTACTTAAGACCATGATATTTTAAGCCAGGTTTACTTACTAAAAGCCACTCACCCCTGTTGGGAGCCGGTGACGTGTCTGGACATGGTCCACGTAGCCTGAGGGTCTGGAGTCGAGGACTAGACCCTCCCCACAAGTTCCCATGAGGAGCCGAAATAAAGAAGTTACCAAGGTCTGGGCTCATGCAGGAGGCAGGGTGTTTACTCTGAAAGTGTGTTTGTGCAGCCTTGAAGGAACTGCTTTGTATCCCCCTCACCTCCTTACCAGTTGTTTGTGACTCATTATATAACAAAGGCGTTGAAGCCATTTGGGGTGCTCCTCATTGGAGGGCAGCCCTCCTGATCCCATAACTTTGTCTGTTTCATTCCCACCCTTCCACTCAGGTTTGTTCTTCTTTCAGGCTGGTTCCTGACACACCCCAACCCAGCTGATTGGTTGGTGAATACTTTATTGGCAAGCGCAGTCTGGAGCAGATCTTTGATTTCATGACACATACCAGAAATAATAAGGCCCACTGGGGTGAGTTAGTGCTTTGAGGCAGAGGCTCCCTTTCCCCATCAATATCTCAGTGCCTCTAAGTTGGGCGGCTCAGGTTGGCAGCGGTGGTTCACATCCCTGGCTGTATACAGGAATCACCAGGGGAGCTTTAAAAAATAATGATGCCTGATGTGTCTTGGTGATTCTAATCTAACTGGGATGTGGCCTGGGCATCGGGATTTTTAAAATTACACTACAGGTGATTTTAACCTGCAGTCAAAGTTGAGAATCACTAATATGCTAGAGCAGTGGTTCTCAAACTTTAGTGGGCTAAGAACCCCATGGAGGACTTGTTAAAATATATAGATTTCTGATTCAGTAAACCTGGAATGAGTCCTTGGAATTTGCATTTCTATTAAGTTCCCAGGCAATGCTGATGCAGCTGGTCTAGGGGCCCCACTTTGAGAGCCTCTGCTCGGGAGGAGTAAGCCATGTGAGCAAAGAGTTTAAACTGAGTCCTCAGTGCATTCCTATTAGTTCTTCAGTTAGGTATATGAATCTAGCATATCATTTCTGCTAGGAGACACCTGACTGAATGATGCAGATAATTCACCTTCCACAGTAATATTTATTGTGTGTGCACTATGTGTGGGTCACACGACATCTGCAGTTTCATTTACACTGCACTACAACTCTGAAGGCTGTGACATCAGCCCCATTTTACAGATGAGAACACTGAGGTGCAGGCATGATAGTAATTGCTCTCACACACACAGCTGGGGAGGGGGAGAGTCAGAATTTAAATTTAGGCCTGCCTGATGCTGAAACTTGCTTTTAACCTCTTGCTATGTTGTCTCCACAAGGAGAAGTTACTGTGGGTATCTGTGATTTATAAGAAATATATATATTTGGTCATTCAGATAAGCAAAATATTTTTCTCATATATATTCGGTCTTTCTCCATGGTTCTGACTCACAGCTCTCAAAATACTTGGAATTTTCTAAATGTTGAGAGTGATAGCTATGTCTTTTGGTATGTTAATGAGGTGGTTTTGGACAGCACCTAAGGATGGAGGCTGGTTGCCAGTGGAGCCAATCATGTGAGTAGAGGGTTGGAACTTTCAGTGTGTCTCCCCCCAACAGCACCTCTAGGAGAGGAGAAGAGCTGGAGATTGAGTTCAGGCACCTATGGCCAGTGATTCAATCAATCATGACTGTAATGAAGCCTCCATAAAACCCAAAGGACTGAGTTGGGAGAGCTTCAGGTTGGTGAACAGGTGGCGATGTGGAGAGAGTGGCACACTTGGTGGGCGTGGAAGCTCGGTTCCCTTCCCCTATACCTTCCCCTAGGTGTCTCTTCCATCTCACTGTTGAGTTATTTCCTTTTATAATAAACTGGTAACTAGTTAAGTAAAAAGTTTCTCTGAGTTCTTTGAGCTACTCTAGCAAATTCACTGGACCCCAGGATGGGGTCATGGGAACCTCTGATGTATAGCTAGTGGGTCAGAAGCACAGGTGACATGTGGGCTTCAAACTGGCGTTTGAAATGGGGGCCGGTCTTGTAGGACTGAACCCTTGACCTGTGGGATCTGATGCCGTCTCTGGGTAGTGTCAGAACTGAGTTGAATTATAGGATGCCCAGCTGGTGTTTGAGAATTGCTTGTTGGTGTGACAGCATCTCCCTCCCACCCAGCTCTATGTTGGGTTCAGATCTAGTCATTGTTAATTGGGGAGCTGGCCTTGGGGTGTGTGAGCCCCATCCTGCCCCTTCTGCTCCCACATATGGGAGGCAGGAGGGGCAGGGGAGGTCGGCCAAGGTATTGAATGACAGTGAGACAGAAGCTGCTTTGCTGTAACAACAGTCGGGGAGACAATACCTCCATGTCCATGGGCAGTTCTTGTCCAAACTTCACTGTCTTGGCAGCTTCTATAACCGCGGCTTGATCCCGATAGGCAGGAATTACATTGTACTTGAAACTGAGCTCGTCTATAGGCAAATTGTATTTTCGAGCGTGATTTTGAAGAGTTCCTGTAAACATAAGAAATCAGAAAAATGGGTCCTCCAAACAAGACCACTACCGCCCAAACATAGCCCCCACTTGCCCCAACCAGGCTGCTCTAGCATTACAGCTCCTCCTCTCTGTGGCTGACTCAACCATTAACATCTTAGTCTGAATTAGTTCACGGAGACGGGGAGCCTGTGGGTGATGTTGGGAGGGACGGGGCCAACACAAGTATTGTGGTCGTGGTTGGGAAGAGAAGGGGGGAGACTAAGTCTGAAGTGCACTGCCCTGCTAGGAGGGAGACCCACCAGCGAGGGAGTTTCAGAGCCCAGTCTCTCCCACTGGACCGTCTTGCTCAGCTGTCTTGTATGGGCTGTTTATTAGGGATTCAGGATGAGAGAGATTAAAGACTCAGCTAAGTAGTATCTAGTAGCCCAGAGGCCCTCGTCCACTCTAGGGCTCCCTAGCAGGAATCCCTGGAGTAGCTGCCTTCTATCCCCTGGGATGACACAGGGACATCAGGAGTATTTTTTAGTCAATTATAACTAGAAAGTAAAATTTTTTATAAAGAGTATTTTTTAGAGGGAAGGAAGCTGCTTANAAAGGAAGCTGCTTAGAGTTGGGGCTGGAGCAGGTGGAGAGCCTGTGGTGCCTTTGAGCATGGGTCTCACAGGGAATTGGGGCACACTGTGTGTGTTCACAGGGGCGGCGGTGTTCGCACTTGCATAACCCGAGAAGGGCGGGGATTAGGTTGTGGGGAACATCTGCTGCTTCTGTCATGGTTTTCCCTGGCAGGCGAGGAAGAGCAGGGCCTCACTGGACTTCCCTGTCATCAACAGCCTCATGGTTAGGCCGTTAGCTGCTGTGCCACTTTGCCAGTTCCCGGAGGCCCAGTGTGGAACAAGTCGTGATCCTTCCTGGGGGATTTTTTTGGGGGAAAGCACTCGTACCTGTTAGAAATCCTTGAGGAAAGAAGAACCCAGAGATCCAGAAGGACACAGGCTGCCCCCTTTTGAGCCACAGCTGAAGGAGAAACATTACACCACAATGTACCGTTTTCCTGAGATGGAGCTTGTCGTTTAATTCCAAGTCATATTCTGGGGGGCCTCTCAGGGGGCAGAATCGAAACCGGTCCTGAGTGAACCTAAACCAGCCCCATCCTCACCGCCTTCCTCACCCCCCGGCCTGACCACAAACCCGGCACCTGGTTATTACAGAGGCTGCAGAAGGGGGAGGGGGCAGCAAGGTCACCCTGGAGTCTGGACCCAGTTCAGATGGGCCCTGGACCTCACAGCGGAGGCCCTGAGCTAGGCGGGAACCCCCAAGGATGGCCTGCAGTTAAATCGGGGCGCTGGAATAAGGGCCGAGGACAAGCTACGCGATAAATTAACGTGAGATGTCTAAAGCGACGCCATTCTGAAAGTTTCTGTTTCTTTGGGCTCAGGTGATTCCTGCAGGGTTGTCGACATTTTAGTTAGCTAGGGCTTCCCCAGGGCCTTAGGGCCAGCTGTGTCACTAGATTGATCCAATCGCAAAGAAGAGCATTCTCTTACGTCCACAAATGCGGTCCTCAGAATAAGGTCTTTGACCCATGACGCCAGTGGTTTCAGGGACGGGTAGGCTGTGTTGGACCACAGGGAGGGAACCTGGTTGTTGAGGAAACTGTTGTACACCTTTTCCATCTCTTCGGACATCACCACAAATCCAGCAATGGCTTTGTTGAGCATCTCTAGAGACGTCTGAAAGAACAGGAAAGGGTTGATGCCCTTCACGGGTGTAATTAGCAAGTGGGAATGACACCCATTCGTGGGGGCAGGTGCTGGCTTGGGCTGAAAGGCCGTCTTGCTGGGTTCCTTCCTCTGCACACTGTCTGCTGGGTCAGGCCATGGAAGGATATTTATAAAACAACGTGGTAAGTACAGTGACAGACACAGCACCCCAACTGATGGACCCCTGAGGACGGGTCCCTAAGTCATCCGGCGGTGGCTGGAAGGGCTGGGGTTCCAGGAAGAGCTCATGGAGGAAGTGATACTCGGCCTTGTCTGTCCGCAGGTGGGTGACGTGGAAGAGACAGAGACCAGCGGCAGTTCCCCCGCCCCTCGTGTTGGCTGGGCTCGGAGCAGCCTCCCAGAGGCCCCCTTTCTCCCAGAGGCAGCTGGGCTGTGGCCATGTGACCGAGTTTCGGCTAACGATACAAGAAGAAATTATGTATGCAACCTCTGGGTCACATTTTTATGAGGAAGCTGCTGTCCCTCAGCCCTCTTTCCCCCCACTGACTAGCAAAAGGGGACACTTGCAGCAGCCACCTTAGGCCCAGAAGTGGAAGCTACTGTTAAGGCTGGAAGAGCCAACCCTCCAGCTGGGATCCCTGGATGAGCTCAGAAAGCAACATCGACTAACTACCTGCCCCAGACAGGGCTCCCTCTGGGCAGTTAACTGAGACACAAGTGAATTTCCATTCTTGTTTTGGTTGCTATATTTGGGAACCTTTATCACAGCAGCTTAATCTGTATCCTGATTCATTCAATACAGAAGGTGATAAGCGCCTATCTGGCCACCTGGATTGATGATGCTGGTGTATACCTGCCTGGCTGCCACAGTCCCGAGGCAAGGACTTTATATATCCAGCTGCCCCGTGTCCCCCTAACCCACAAGCCTAGGCATTGCCAGCCAAACAGAAACATTCAGACACTATGTTTTCTTAGTAGGGGACAGATGGCGTTTGGCTTTGAAAGATTTACCCCACCCGTCCTCCCCAGTCTAATCACTGAGCACTGACTCTGTGCTAGGTATTTGGTTCCCTGCTTGGCGGTAAAACTCTTCCTGCTGATGGTCAGTATTTGGTCTCTAATAGCTTTTGTTTTCCTTATCAGAGCTATACACATAGAAACCGGGAAGGCGTTCAGCCATCACTATAAATTCAAGACCATCTAGAGAGAAAGTATTCCTGAGCATAAGGCAAAGGTCCAAATAATTGTTCTCAAATTTTAGTTGCAGTGAAATCATTTGGGGGGGGGGG